GTAATACTCATATCATCAAGATCAATCAAGCAGGAAGTAGGGTATTACCTCCATTGAGAGGGCCCGAACCTGGGTAAACATCGTGTCCGCCGCCTCCTGTTATCATTAGCCTTAGACGCACAGTTCGGGACCCCCTACCCGAGATCCGGTGGTTTTGACACCGACATGTGCATCTACCGACCGCAGCGGCCTCCCCCCCCCCTCCCCCGCCTTCCCTCCCCCTCGCCGCTGCCCATCATCCTCCGCTGGGAAAAGCCCACGCGCGGATCCGACGGTGGCGGGCTATGGCGCGCCGGAGCGGCTCGTTTGCGGGCACGGGGCTCGTGTGGCGGCGGCGGTGCAGCGCTCCTCGGCATGCGTGTCTTTTGTGCTCTGGCACGGTGGGGAGGGCGGCGGTCCTCGCGGCGGGTTGGTGATGTGCTCCCGTGCTTCGCTTCCTCCTCCCGCTCGGGATGGCGTGGCGCGGGCCGGCCGCTTCGGTGGGAGCTCCGGCGCGCTGGCGCTCGGGGCAACGCGCCGAGTCAGCATGGGGTGGCAGCGGGCGGGCGCTGCCAGGTGGTGCTGGCGCGGCGAGGAGTGTGGCGGCGTGTGCGGCCTTGCTGCCCCTCGTCGGGATCTGGCAGGGACGGCATGGCAATTGGCGGCGCTCCGCGGCTACTGGCGCGTGGATCCGGCGAGTCGGGACTCGGACGGCGGCTATTGGCTGCTTGCCAGGCCTCTCTCAGCGGTGCTGCAGCTGCAGTTGGTTGCTCTGGCTTCGGCCCAGCAGCCTTGCTCGGCGGGTTGGGGCGGGGTGGCGGGCCCCCCTCCCGGTGTGGTGCTAACGGGCTCCTCTCCCCTCTCGGGGCCTGCTGCTGCGGTTGAAGGTGTGCCAGGTCCTTGGATTTTGAGGTGATGCGGCCGTTCCTGGCTCCAGGTGAAAACCTTGCAAAACTTCAGTTGATGCCAGTAACGGCAGCGCCATTTTGGTGTCGTTCTCCTCCCTGGGGCGTTGCTGAGGATTCCAGTTCACTCCAATCCCTCGAGTCCGGTATCTCCGGGCGTAAGCCCAAGGTCTAGTTTTGCTAGATCGGGCGACGACGGCGCCTGTAGCGTCGCTACCTCCTTGGAGATGTTGTCTTGGAGACCATGACTTTGGCGGTAACTGATGACCCATGGGGGCGGCGGTGGAGTGTGGCAGATGTTGGTCGTGCTGCGGCCGGATAAGGGGTCGACGGTGGTTTTGTGGTGGATGCATGGTGTGGTGGTGGATCGGCTTTGGTCACGTACAGCGGCGGGCTGCAGTACCCATTGCTCTGTGGTGGTGCAGGGAGCAGCGAATCGCAGTCTACCGGAGCTCTCGGAGGTGGTTTTGCTTACTTGGGCGAAAGCCACTGCTCCTGTCGGAGCCGGCGATGGTGACGCCCGCGGGTGCCGCTTACCTCCTTGGAGGCATCACTGTCATGGTGACTTCCCCTTCGAGGCTCCTGGGGAAACCCATGTTCCTGGTCCGTCCGGGACGGCCGATGGCGGTGCTCTTCACGTCGCATTCCTTCTTGAAGGCATCAGCTTGGTGGATTGTGTGGTGGCTGCTCACTGCGGGTTGGACGGTGGTGGTGGTGTGGCCGGCTGGCGCTAGTGTGCACGGCGAAGCGATCCGGGTGTAGACTCGGCCCCTTGATGCCCTTCGACTTCGCCGACGGTGTCGCTGTTGTGATGTAAACTCGGCTGCGTGTGACTCTTCGTCTGGGTGTGGACTCGGTCGCTCGTTGCCCTTTGGCTGCGCCAATAGCCTTGAGGTACCATGGATGGTCTCGGTTGATTGGAGCTCTTCATCTACGGGGGTGGTGTTCCCGTGCGGTCCAGGTTGGTAATGGTTGCTCAAGACCCTCTCATGGCTACTGTTGTGCTGCGGCGAGCTTCGTGCTCTTGGTGTTGTCTCGACTCATCTTTGCTCAAGGATGGCGCAAGATCTCAAACTGCTAATCGTTCCGCTTTTCTGTGGCGGAGCCCCAGTCAAGGTTCGTGTCTGGGATGACACTCGTTGATTGTGGTTGCTCCTGAGTTGTGCCATGGGGCCAGTTTGCCCGCCGATGCGCTCGGTTGTTTGCAATGTCCTGGTATTGTGATCTCTCGACGACACCCCTCATCTACTTCTGCCTCTCATGGCGATGGTCCTATGTCTGCCAGCCTGGTCGTGCCTTGCATGGTTTTCGGCCCGGTTTTCCTTATAAACGGGATCAATTTGTTAAGGTTTTCGATCCGGTTTTCCTTATAAACTGAATCACTATTCTGGCATTTGGCCACTTTGGGTAATATATTCAGGTGGGGAAGCTCCCCCTCGGCGATTCTCAAAAAAAAAAACATGATGACCTGTGTAGGATGCTCCACAACATGAAGCCTCGGTTTGAGTGCCCAAAACACGTCTTGCGTAAGAGAGCGATGAGTGATGAAACAAGAGCTATGATGGGTGTAGTTCCTTTGTTGTATGTTGTGTAGAACCATGTGACACTGGTTCAGACTTTTGTGGTGTCTATATACTGCTTGTGCTGTCTGAGGGCCTTGAAACCTGGAAACTGTCTCCGGAAATCAAGGGAAGGCAATCATGAAACTAAGATGTGGATCAGCTCTAGCTAACTCTTCTCTTCATCCAGTCGGATCCTGTCCCAAGTGTTGAGGTGGTCCTAACGAGTGACACTGTCAGCTAGAGAAAAAAAGGCTGCTGAGACTAGGAGGGCTAAAAACATTGATGGGCATAGGCACCATGCACTTGGGTGTTCAGTGCTAATCATGGGTCTGTAAAAGCCAGCTTTTGAATTGTATATCCTTTCATCTAATAACCAGTGAAACATTCCTCCCGTGGCTCATCATAACTGAGCTTCTCAAGCTAATCATTGCCATCTTCAAGTGGGAGAAGACCAAAGATTATTTATTTATTTTATATCAAATGAATTTGTGATTACTCAGAAAAAAATGAATTTGTGAGGTGGGATCGATGCAGCCTGCAAAATATATATTCCCCTAATTCATCTTGGCATTTGATGGATTTCTTCTTCTAATTTTCTTTAGTGACTCAAAAGAGTTGTCTTCTTTTGTGGTGCAATGTTTATGATTGAGCTCGTAGCAAAGCATACACTTTCTCTATAATAATTTGTTTATGCCTTTTGGTACGCTCTTGACTGAATTGTGCTCATCTGCAAATAAAGGGTGTTAGTCCCCGTCTGCTGCCGACAAGTTTTTTCTTCTTCTTACATATATGTATGTAATATATATATATATATATATATATATATATATATATATATATATATATATATATGCATCTTCCTACCCTCCCGTCCGGACCATTGACGTCTTTCTCAAGAATTCATCAGCACTGCCAGCTTGAATGTGTCACTGAAAAGGAACATACAACTTTGAATGTGAAAAGATACATAGGACCATATGAGTAAATATTGCAGTCTCTGTTTGTATGTGTGGTTTGTACACATGTGCATCTGGATTTATACAGTTGGTGAGGAAATGGTCAAGAATGAGCTGAGAACCTTTGGTCTTTTTCCATTACAGTTGGTGTGTGCAACAAGGTGGTATGTTGTACAGGACTCTTAGGTCAGGACCAGGCAAGCATTCCTACTACCACCTAGGAGTACTAGCTACAGTACTCACCTCCAATTATTTTTGCTATGGTCTGAAATATACCTACAACCATCTGTAATTAAAATATCTTTTATCTTTGATCTGAAATTATTTTGTGCAAAGACCAGGAGTGGCCAGTGTCGAGTGCAGTGGATTGAGATTTGAGCCTGCCTACCAGAGTGCTAGTACTAGTACTAGTAGTATCATGTGCAATGGAGGATTATGTCTAGCATGTGTTTAAGTATAGTTACACACATCATAGCCCTTGTCTCGAGGTGATTAAAGGCTTCAATCAAGCCCTTAAAGGTTTGTAGAGGAAAGCTGGAGCATGTGTTTATGCGCGTGCATTGAACAGAAACAATGAGCATGCTACTCAGTAATCTCTGAACGGCTGTAACGGCAAAAAAAAAAAGGTAGCCACATCATCTGCTGCTGATGCACATCAGTGAGTAGAGTTTTAATAATCCTAATAAAAAATAAATGGTGTAAGTCAATTTTGGCGTCAGTTTTGTACTACTATATTGGTGAGAGAGAATCTTGGACCTCCCCCAACCCCAAGGATCGAAAACTTGAGGCTGGTCACAGTGGGGAGGAACTTAGAAAAAACAAGGCCGGCCATCAACAACAGCACGGTCTGGTCAGAAAACAATTCCAAGGCATCATTTTTGTAGAATAGATTGGATTCCTTAACCCTAATTAGGTCACCTAAGCTGATGAATGCGCTGCAATCCAATCCACAGGTCCCTCTTTATTTTAAGGTCCTTCTCACTCCCTCTCTCAGTAGAGGACAATCTTGCTTTGTTTTTGGTGAAGCAAACAGCCGAGTCTCTCCCTCACACACGCACATACTAGTACACACAACACAGTGAGGAGAGGAGAGGAGAGGAGAGGTGAGACCGTGAGAGTCCCACGAGAACCACTCCCATTCCCCATTCCATGCCATGTGATGTGAAGGCGTGTGTCTCCTACCTCCTCCCTTGGACGCAGAGCCCCGTGCTTTCCTTTCCCCCCTGCCTCTCTCTGCCTTATCATCACCACACATGCGATTCAGTAAACAGATTCACTGCACTGCACCATTTGTTTTGCTGCCCCCTGCCTCTCCCTCCCCTTCAGTTCGAGTCTTCTTTCTCCTTCCCTCTTCTTTGATTGCTTCCACTGTTGCTCATCCTCTCCTTCTTCTTCTTGTCCTCTCCGTATGTCCATGTGTCTCCTGCCCTGATTGACTCCTTGCCTCCGACTCCCCACTCACTCTTCTTGGTGGCAGAGCTTCTTCTTTCTGTTACGTGTCAGCTTCTTCCGTTCATCGGTCCGAGCTTTCTAGATTCAACATCGCTTCTGCTCGTCTGAGTGGGAGGAGTATCGATGCTTTGCTTGGCCTCCCACCAATGGTGAATCCTAGTTTGTTTGCCGACTTGCCGTGGAAGAAAGGAAGAGAAACCGCCGGCGAGGGGCAGAAAAAGATGCGGGGTTTGAGTAGGCTTGGCGTCGGGCTCACGGTGGTGTCCGCGCTCCTCCTCCTCGCGCTCGCCGCGGAGCTCTACTACCTCCTCGTGCACAAGCGCCGCCAGCGACGACGCGCCGCCGCCGTCTCCGACGCGGCCTCCTCGCCCTCCTCCTCCTCCCGCGAGCTGCTCCAGCTCTTCTGCTTCAAGAAGCCGCCCGCACTCGCCTCCACCTACGCGCAGGAGCCGACCGAAGCCGTGGCCGAGGTCGTCGTCGTCGACGACGACGACGAGACGGTGGAGGCGCAGCTGATGCGGCTCGGCAGCCTCGTCGGCCCGCCGCGGCTGCTCTTCACCATCAAGGAGGAGACCAAGGAGGACCTCGAGTCCGAGGGCGGCCGGAGCAGGTGCGGGAGGAGCCGGAGCCTCGGCGACCTGCTGCATTGCTCCGAGACGCCGTACCTCACGCCCGCCTCCTCGCCCCTCCCGCCGGCCATGGAGAAATCGTACAACCCCCTGTTCGAGTCGCCGGCGGCGAGCCCAGCCGCGGTGGCGGCGTCGCCGCCGCCCAAGCTCCAGTTCCTCAAGGACGCGGAGGAGAAGCTGTACCGGCGGGCACTGGCCGAGGAGGCGAAGAGGGCGCGGGGGTCGCCGGCGGCCGGCGAGGAGGACTGCGGCGGGTACATCACCATCGTGGTGGGGAAGAACACCCGAGTCATCCCCTTGCCCTCGCCTCCCGGCAGCGCTTGAAAAAAAGGTGGCTTTTGTTAACTCGTCTGATGCTGATGCAGATGCAGAGTCAGTCAGTGTTCCGTTCTAGCGTAGCCTCTGTGCTGTCATCTTTTTTTGATCATTCCAATTGGATGATTGGATGTACATAACATGAACATGGCGAGGAACTGAGAACTTGGGATCAATATTTTCTTTTACTATCTGTATCTGTAGTCTCTAGTCTCTAGTCTGTGACTTGTGACTTTAAGGTGCAAGTTAATTACAGTACTGTAATTTTGTTGTTGTAGGAGGCAAAACATTGCACTCTTATGTTATGTATGATGAGCATAAATGGACCATCATCCCAGATCAGAATATCATTAATCCTAATATTAATAAACTGTGAGGACACATGCTCTCTTCCTCTTTTGATGGGTTGTATGTAGTAGAAAATACTAGTCTATATTATCTACTCATCCATGAGAACAAGAGGAATGGAGAGAACATTATCTGAAGGTAAGCTCCATGCCGATTTTGCCTGACAATGAAACTTTTAACTTTATACTGGTGTGTAATACAAATTCCTTGCAACTTCTGCCAAGCATATTGACCCCTTTCTACTCTCATGCCACCACCTTTAATTAGTTTTTTTTGGCAGAATCCTTTAATTAGATTGTTCACAATGCAAATTATTCCTTGGCAATTTTGTCAAGTCTTCTCTGGTCTTTTTGAGCTGTCCTCCGGTCACAGCTTTGTTCATACTGCTTTAGAACAATGAAGGAGCAGGAGGAACAATGCAATCACCCCCTTTTTCTGATGCCGGCAAAGATCTTTAGGCCTTTCTAAGCCCCAACTCAAAAGTCTCTAGTTTTTTTCCCATTCTCTCCGCAGCGAAAGGCGATTGATATATTCTCATTGCCTTCTTCATGTGGGGGGTGATAAAATTGTTCCACCAGAAAGAAATGGCAGCTCTTTTGAGATTTGAGACCATGATTTGTTTTATCACGTGTTCTACTCTGATTGTGTTGGTTTGTTTTGTAGAATTAAAGTTTAAGTGGAAGGCGCAGAAAAGATTCCTACACCAACACCACACATGCAGTATACTTTAATCAGAATCCACAGGCCATTCGTTGCGAATATGATTGCATTGTGGAGTCAGCTTGGAGTCGTGAGGTTACATTTTTTCCGAAAAGGGCAATACTCCAATTAGCAATCAAGTACTGTAGTAGAGAGTCAAAACATGAATTCACAGTCTATAGTTTGGCCAACTGCCATTTTCTGCTTGGGTTATTCAAAAGCCGGAAGTGCATAAAAGGACAGACAGAGAACCACCAGGACCATGTCATGTTATTCTGAAGCTATTAGTAATAAGCACTTTAATTGGCAGTGCCATGTCATGGTTGGTCATGGCACTCACCACGTGTATCATCAAAGTACTGTCATAGACCTCCAGTTGAATCTGCTGTTAGCATTGACTTGTACTCCACGGGCTAATTGACTCCGGAACTAACCATCATTCTTGTCTGAACCTATCATCATTGTGACTGAGCAGGTAAAATGACATGAGTCAGTACTAACTTGTGGAAACACATCAAGATCAAAACCAACACTGTGTCAGTGACAGGTATGTTGCTGCTAACTTGAGAGCACCTCTGGCAGACATGTGGTGCTGAGGGCAACAAAGGATGCGCTGGCGATGCGAGAACCAATGGCAATTGCGTCCTGACCTGCACCTCTATGCCAATATGCTCTAACATTTTTTTTTTTGAAACGGAGGCAAAAGATTTGCCTCATATATTAAATGAGGAGGAGAAAGAGTTTGTTACAACACAGTGCCAAGAAACGGCATGGCAATTACTCTCGCAATAAGAAAGACCCTAGATTTTTCGCCCCGGCTTTAACCCAAAGGTTGGACTCTTCGATCACATTGTTTAGCAAGACATGCGGAGGGGCACTCTTGTGTCTAAACACCCTTGCATTACGCTCATTCCAGATCACCCATGAAACCAACATGGTTATCGGAGCCTTCGCTTTTCGGTTGGCGGTGCCCTCGGTGCTCAAACTCGCCCACCATTCCTTGATGGAGTCGTACAAGTGCCATGTGGACGTGTCCACGTCGTGGATGCGGAGCTTCTGAATCACCATGTTCCAGAGCCTGAGGGTGAAGCGGCATCTGAAGAATAGATGGGGACCGCATTCCTGCACCCCTCTGCACAAGGGACAAGGGCCACAGTTTGGCCAGCCTCGCCTCTGCAATCTGTCTGCAGTCCAGATCCTATCTTGAAGCGCGAACCAAGCAAAGAACTTGACTTTCGAAGGGGCCCAAACCTTTCAAACCATTTGGTCCATGGGGGAAAGGACCAAGCCCAAAAACTGCGCCCTGTACGCGGAGGCGGCGGAGTAGTTCCCGGAAGCCGTGTGCTTCCAAAGGATGTCATCGTCGGCAAGCTCATCAAGGTGGACCTCGGCAAGCTCATCAAGGTGGACCTCTTGGAGCAGCGTCCATAGGGTGAAGAATTGTGAAATATGCTCAATGGAGGCCGGTGTAGGTGGCCTGATTTTGAGAATCCACGCGCTCTCCTTGAGGGCCTCCCGCACCTTCCAGCGCTTCCGTGAGGAAGCCTCATAAATGAGCGGAGCGATGTCTCTGGGCTTGCGACCCAGAAGCCAAGGAGAGTCCCAAAAAGGTGTCCGCGCACCATTGCCGACCGTGATGGTGGTACATGCGTAGAAAAAATTCAGGTCATCCTCATCACACGGGTTCCCACCTCCAACCCACAGCTTTGTGGGCTCCTTCCACTCATACCAAGGCCACCGCAGACGCAAGGCCCGCGCGAACTTGAAGGTGTTTAGGACCCCAAGCCCACCATAGTCAAGCGGCCTACTGACAGTGTCCCAATTGACCTTGCACTTTGCCCCAGTTGTCTTATCCGATCCCGACTAAAGGAATGCCCGCTCGAGTTTGTCAATGTTTTGCAGGATGGTGGTTTGTATGACAAGCGGCGTGATGAAGTAGATGACTTGGAAAGCGAGAACCGACTTGACGAGCGTCGCGCGTCCAATGGTGGTGATGTTTTGGCCCTCATATGTTGTCAATCTACTCGCCACTTTATCCACTAAGAATTGAAGATCAGCAAGCTTCAGCCTCCAAATCGACAGCGGTAGCCCCAAATAACGGAGCGGAAAGGCAGCCCTAACAGCCGGCAGCCCATGGGTTATGCGGTCTAAGTCGAGGTTGCCAAATGGGCACCATTGAGCTCTTATGGAAGTTAGTGCACAGACCGGTGACGTCCCCGAATCCCCTCAGAATGGCCGCCAGGTTGTCCACATCTCTTTTGATGGGCGCAACAAACACAGCCGCATCGTCCGCGTAAAGAGAGGTACGCACGATGACCCCTCTCCCACGGATCTTGTGCAGAAGGCCTTTCCTAGTTGCCGTGTCGAGGATTTGCTTCAAAGGGTCGATGGCAATGACAAAAAGGAGAGGAGAGATGGGGTCCCCCTGCCGAAGCCCTTGGCCATGCTTGATGGGAGAGCCGGCTACCCCATTCAAGAGAACCCTCGAAGATGAGGAGCAAAGGAGAGCCGCAATCCACTCCCGAAATTTGCTAGGGAAGCCACGCCTCCGCAGGAGGTCAAGCAAATACTCCCACTTGACGGAGTCAAAGGCCTTGCGAATATCCAGCTTGAACAGGAGAGAAGGGGTCTTGTTCTTGTGCAGGCGACGAGCAAGGTTCCTAACAGACATGAAGTTGTCATGGATACTCCGCGTTTTGATGAAGGCACTTTGGGCGTTGGAGACGAGGGCGGACATGTGCGGTCCAAGCCTACTAGAGAGCATTTTGGCGATGAGCTTGGCGACCGCATGAATGAGACTAATAGGCCTGAAGTCAACGATGCTCTCCGCCCCGTCCTTTTTGGGAAGCAACACAATATTCGCAGAGTTGAGTCAGTGAAGGTTAATATGCTCTAACATTGGCAACACGCCAAGTGCTCATAATCTCTCGTTAGGTGCTAATCCGATGGTATTATTGGGTAGTACTACGTGAGGTGCCCTACAACAGGTAGTAGAATGCAGTACCAGTACTGCTAGCTAGGTCTAGCTAGGCTGGTTTGGTTTGGTTGCCTTTGCCTAGGATTTAAGCATAAGATTCTTTTCTGGTAGTCGAACAAGGGCCGGGCCGGGGGTTGATTGGAGATGAAATGTTGTCATGTACCCTGAATTTGTAGAGCGATATGCAGAGCAGCTAGGTCATCATTGTGTTGGTCCAAAGTAACAGCAATCCAGAAAAAATTGCAAGACAAGCCATGTACTTGTGGTACCACCGTACCGGCATGTGCATTTTCATTGCACAAGTTAGCCAGCCTTACAGTAGACTTTATACAGGTTAGCGTTCACAGCACAGCACAGTAGTGAATATGTACTGGTTATTTGATCACCTGGACAAAGTCAAAGTCAGGGAGAGGTCCTACTTTATATAATTTGTGGTGATGTCTCTCTAATTAACACTGACATATACCTACAACCTCATCTAAGGCCCATAGAAAATTAGTTTCTGCAAGCACCTCAAAAAACGTGGCGTTGCATGCCATGGTCATAGTGGGAGTAATTTAGGGAGTAACATAGATGCCACATAAGCAAATATGATGATGTGGAAAATAGTTAATGAGGAGAGAGGCAAATAGAGTAACATAATATGTTACCATCACATAGCGTTTTCCAATGCAAAATGAGTCTACAAAGTGATAAATAAAGACATCTATGTTACTACACATATGACACTACCCACTACTCCCTCCTTTCCGGTTTATAGGGCTCAATTCAAAAACCTCACCGACCAAGGTAGATGATGAGTGGTGGAATACTTTTTGTAGTTTGCAAAAGCACCTAATTAATGCTTTTGTTTTCCTCAAAAAATTATGCTTACCAATATATTAATTGCAATGCATGCATGCATAAAGTACATGCATTGATCAATTTTCTCTCAATATTTGCAAGTAATGATTTAATACACCTTAAAATCTGAACATGTAATAGG